TAATTCATTTTTTTTTTTCAAGAAATTAAAAATAAAAATGAAATTTTATTTAAACTTGTTTATAACGAATTTAAACACTACAATTAATGTATATTTCTAGCAAATTATTTGTAACTCACTACAATATTGTGTGACTATACAAATAACAAGATTGCAGAGTTGCAAATAAATTTTCTTGAAACCTTTACTAATCGTAATGTTTAATTAAATTATAAAAAAAATCGAAAGGTGAAATGTCCCTTTTTCTTGCCTAACCATTTTAATTATTAAAGAAAAAATGTTCTATTTTTTCAGAAAACATGATAGGAAACGACGATGCTGACGCGATTTCTCGAGAATCGTCCCCATGCGGAGAAGCATCGCCCTGCGAAGAGACCTGCGAGACCACCCCTGTAATACTCTGTAGTAACACGTCGACTCAGGAAAGTTGCGAAGGCGATAAAGTTACTGTTGCAACTCAAACAGGCCACGAAGCCCCAGACATGGCGTTCAACCCCGAAAAAATGACCGTAGACAAACACTGTTATGAGTGCAAAGTACGCTACAGAGACCCTAAACCGCAGGACCTCGTGATGTATCTGCATGCGTGGAAATACAGGGTAAGATGCTCTTAGCTTTTTATTGGTTTCTGAAATTTTCAAATGTATGAATATTTTTCCCCTTTTTCTTTTATAAAAATGTAATTATAATTAATTAAAAAAAAGAATCTCATTTTTTGTGAAATGAACTCCAAAACGAAAACTTTTATATGTAACAAAAAATATATATTGAGGCAGGAATAATTTATTACATATGTAAATTTAAACATTTTAATAACAATTTATTTAAATTTTCTACAGAAAACTAATTAATATCGTATTTTCAGGGTCCTGGTTGGGCTTACGAAACTGAACTCCCAGAATGGGCAAAACCCGATTGGATTGGATCAAAATCGTCGGGCTGATGTTAATAGTTATAGGAACCGTACAGGACTTGAAAAATATATACGAAAAAGTATATTTTGTTGATAGTTCAATTTAATTTGTCAAAAACTGAACTAGTGTATAATCCTTGCACATAAAACGGCAGGGTCCAATCACAATCATCGTATGTAGACCATCCCAATTAAGTTAGAAAATGAAAGTAAATAAATATTATTATTATTATTGTTAATTCAAAAGTGTTTAGGAAAGCGAAAAATAATCAAAAAACCAATGCAACAAAAAATATTTATATTTACTTTATTTTGTTTGTAGAATTGCCCAGTATTAATGTCAATTTCCCTTATTTGCTAGTTTTTATAATTATTATAATAAATAATAACAAGAAAAATAATAATAACACTTAGGTTAGCATAACATTCGTTATCAATTTTTATCTAGCAAACAGGACAAACTTCTGTGCTAACTTACCAACAAAAAGAACCAGTAATTATATGACTGAAACAAGGAACAATAAAAAGAAGAATTTTAGTCAAAAAGATCGTGAAATCTTCAGTTAAGTGCCTGAAATAGAAAAATGAGTATTAAATACAGGTCGGTACGTAGAGAATTATTTGAAAGTATTAAACATCATTCGTCGTGTACTATATAATTTTTTTTACTAAAAACAATTTTTGAATCTCATTTAAAAAAGTCTTCAATTGCTTTTTTCATCATCCCTTCTATCTATTTTATATCCTTGACTGAAGAATGAATCTAATCAATGTTATTTTTCAAAAAGTTTTTCCGAATTCTTTGACTCTCGCCAGCACGCCATAAACACCTCCAATAGAACTCAAACCGAATTCTGTCCCTTTTTTATTTATATGTAACAAGCGTTTAAGCGTTATTTTCATTTATGTTAACATAATAATAAAATATCTACCATTATTTCAAACCCATACAGAAGGAGGTAAATCAAATTTTAAACGATTAACTCAAATTTTATAATTTTAATCGAAAGTTCTATTTGAATTTCTATCTGTATTACATTGACTTATTTAATTCTTATTAATAAAATTTAGAAACAAATTCTGTATAATAGAAAAGTATATCAACAATATTTTTTTTTCTGTATGGCCCCCTGCACATGTACCTGTGCCATTTACAAAATTACTTTATCAAAACAAACGTTAAGATTGGTATCTTCAAAATATTTTTATAGTAATGGTACGTAATGGGCAAATTTAGCAAACAGATAGTAGTTAATGATGTAGTAGTAGACAATATAAAAGTTCCACCGTTTTTCTTTATCTTGAAAAGGACGCATTGTGTTCTTTGGAATTTAAAAATGTAAATAATATTGCGAATGGTGCCTTATTGTGACAACTAATTTAATATTTATTAAGACTTATGACTATCTATTTTAAAAATTGTGTTTGGAATTTAACAACCAAAATTAATGTTGTGTGTATAATAAAATTAATAATAGTCGTCACAAAATAGGCACTCTATCATTAGAACGTCTGTGATGATCAAATATTATTTACTCTAAATGCAATGTCGATAATTAATTTCAGTGTAGATTAAATTATTGTTATACCTACACTAATATTAATTTTATAAATTATAACAAATTCTCTACAGAAACTGGTAGAGAAATGTCACATTTTAAAAAAATGCGAAGTCACAGTACTCATATGTAACATCTAACGTATGTAATGAGCAAAACAATAATTTCACAACGTAAGCTCATAGTAATACAGGATTACCAGATCAGTGGTTGACAGCTGTTAGTTTTTCCTCTTTCTTCCTTTTTTCCGACTTTTTCAGCGTTAAATGTAGACAACATTGATTGAATAACGCGCGCTTCCCCCCCCACCCTAACTTCCGCATTCACGAGATTGCTCCCATAGTCCCACATACACACATACCAAGCAGTAAGATGTTACATATCAAAAGCAGTTTAATTCGTAATTATAGTAAAAATAAAATTCCATTTACCCCATTCTTGGGGTAAATAACATCATTTTGTACAAAATGACTAAATGATTACTTTCCACTACAATTAATTGTTTATCTGCTTGTAAATTGTTCTAAAATTGATAATAAATACAATCAACAGCAAAATATATAATATGTAAAAAGAATTTATACCTATACAAAACTAATCCTTGTTATGATGAAAAGGAATTGTACAAAAAATACTATAAAATTAATTACTTAATTTTATTACTAATAAATCAAAGAAAAGGACATTCGTGTATAACGGAAATTCCTAAAATTGTAGTTGTGATCCTATTGCTATGAATATTCTTCATGGAAATATGGAATGTTATTAAATTTATTTGTGTAGTATTGTAAATAATTACAAACTGGTGGAATCGTTAAAATTAATTAAAAGTACCTTGCTTTATTTAGTAACTATTGCTGCAGACGAATGATTTAGTTTTATTTAGTTACAAACTGCAACAATTCCCATTTTGAAGAGAATTTAAGTTTTTATACATTTAATTGATAAATTAAATACACTTAAAATAATTGAAATTAATATATCAGAACAATATATATCCTAAATACATGTCAATTTTTCAGCTTAAATATTTAAAAAATAAAATAAAAGTAGATGCAAAGATGTAAAATTGATCATTATTTCTTATTACTAAAATCATAAAATCAACATCGTTAGTGATAGAAATTTGTTGCAGTTTTATATGTAAATAAAAGAAGAAAAAAAAAGAAAAGAACGATAAAGGTCTTCTATAAATAACAACATCATAAATTATTTTGTAAAGAAAATATTTGATACGCACGCTTTTGTAGAGCACCAGTTTTGTAAAAATAAGCTAAAATTATATATTGGCGATACAATTACTTATCGAATATAAATATAGTTTTTACATTACTTAATTTATGAAATGAATAACTTATTAGACCAATATTAATAAGTAAAGTAGATGCATAAGTGGAGAAAAAGATATATTGTTAAAAATAATTTTTATTTTACTCCACACAGGTAGTGTGTGTAAGATTGTTGTTATTCTTACTATTATTTTCTCTTGTATTTTGCAGTCATCTGTGATTGTTACCTAAGTAGGAAATTGTTTCTTTTTTCTTCTTTACAATTTTTAAAATAATTATGTGTGCATATTATTCCTGTAAACAGTGTATTAGATTTTAAGGGTAATAAATAAAAACGCATTTCTCATATTATCCATTTACACCGAATATAGGTAGGTAGTGAAGTGACAGTCTTTCTTGCCAAAATTTTCACATTCAATTTGGCAAGCCTAGGGACATTTTCTTGAAAATATATTGGAAAACTATTTCTTGAAAAATAAATTTCGAACTTGATTTTCTTTAAATTTCAATTCAATGAAGAAAATCTATATGACAATCAAGTTTCAAGAGTTTCAAAGTTTTAAACCCGACTTTATCAATANTTAAATTTTAATAAAGATAAAAGATTTTTAAAATAACATTTATTCTCTCAAAAAATATTTACCTACAATATTATTTACATGACCTGGTAGTTTTGTATTTGAATTTTCATTCAAGACCGTTCCACTTGATTAAATTCCCTTCTTGATGGGCTTTGGAGCAACACTGACTTTAACGGGTTTACATAAGTCCAGTAAATAAGGGGAGTCCACGGAAAACTTTCTTTTTCCAATGTCTCCTTCGGGAACGGCCAAGGCAATGTTTATTTCTATATTACAAGCCTCAGACCAAACTTGATGTGAAATAAGAACTGTTGTCAGAAGCCTTAAGTTATGTCCAACTTGCTTATCTGCAATATTTGAAAAATTATTGGAAATTAATTTAATTTATTTAAATAGTAAAAGCGTTAATATCATAGAATAAATTAAATTTTATAATTTTTACCTTCATTGGGTCCATCAAAATTTAAAGGTTTCAGATGAGAAGGCCTAGGCAAAACAATTTGGGTCTTTTGATCAGGGTATTTTATTTTCAATCGAACTCGACTTGGATCCAACATATTATTCAACTCTGCTTCCAAAGGCACTGCCATAATGAGCCCTGCAGTAAATTTTAGGGTTGTTTCTGATTGCCCACTGGGTTCCAAAATTTGCACCTGACTCATTTGAACCTAAAATGTTTAATTTCTTTAAATTAGTTTAAAACTTTTTGGTGAGCTAGTTACATTCATATTTGGCTCAGGGATTTTTCTTAGTTTTGCCTGAGTTAAAATAGGAATTAGGATTCTGGCAACAGTTCCAGGCTTGGGTTCTTCGAGGCATGAAAGCTCGTTTAAAACCGTAGATGTGAATGAATCGGGTTCCAAGTCCGTGGAATTTAGATCTTTTTGCATTTCATCCAAAGCAGTCATGAAATGATGGCAGGGTGCCAAGGCAGATGCGTTACTTCCTAAAAAGAATTTACATTTATCGGATAAAATGTGGTTATTATTAATTTGATTATTAACGCACCTTTTACTATATACACCAGATTTAGGGCCAAAGCCCTGAGTTTGAACTGTTTAACAACACAACTATCTTTAGGGCTTAGACCCACGAAAAGAAATTGCATTTTCAAACATATTTCCAGCAAATTTTTTAAATTGGTTTTTAAATTATTATACTGCTGTGTACCCAAAGTACCAGGATTATTCCAGAAGCCCTTTTCCAAAATTTGAGCCATCAAAAGTTGCGCCCCTATGTACAGGGCTGTAAAATGTGCTGTACCAGATACAGTTGCATCCATGTTACTTAAACGATTTAACTGTTCTTGTGCAGTTTGTAAAAATGAAGTCTGAGTACTAAAGGAGCATTTTAACTTTAAATGGGCATTTTCACAACTTGATAATTTTATTTACCTGTAGGAGTTTTGATTTGCGTTTACACTGTCCACAACTGCCTTTAGAAACTCCATACTTTCAGGGACGGACATGGGTCTTGAAATAGTGGTGTTAACATTTCCAGAAAGGCTCAATTCGGGAACTAAGTTAGGCATTGTATCCCTCAAATACGCATAATGTCTCAATGTGTGGGGCTCCAACAAGGGAGTTATTGTTGGAAGATTTTTAGCAGCATTTAAGATCAAAATTAAAATACATATATCTAAATTTTCTATTAAAGAAAATTCTCGTTTTGAATACCTATTGTGAAATCTGAACAACAAATTCGAAATATAAGGATACATTGTGGATTATCAACGTCTGGCTCAGCTATATCGAAGAAAGGGTGAATTGTGAGAAATTGGGGGACTAAGGGCAACACCAGTTCAGGATGTTGTGCTCCGATTGTTTGCAAACACCTGTAGGTAGATCTTCGGTCTTGTGGGTACCTTTTAAGATTGTCCAAAAGCTTTTCAACACACATTTTCAACCCTGCTGTTGTAGACATTCTGCAAGCAGCTAACATTCTATATAACCCTTCGCGGATTTCTTGAGAAAAATCCTCTAACGCTCCTTTAAATAAGTATATTATTTAGTTTATAGTAACTATAATTAAGTTGAATCTGTGAATACCTAAAATGGTTTCTAACTGGTCATCTCTTAAAATTATATGTCCGGAAATAATTCTCAAACTATCAATCGCTTTTAGGCGGACATCTTCGATTTCGTCGTTGAACATGTCGACCAGAAAATCCAAGGAGATGTTTGCAAAATCAGGATTATTCCGGGACAGCTGACACAGCGACTCGACTGCAGCAGTACGAACTTCTACGAAGAGAAGAAAATGTAAGTTTTATCTTATATTTTTAAGTAAAATAAAAGCCCGCTGAGCTTTTTATTAAATTATAAAATCAAATTGTTTTACCAAGAAATTCATCTTCTAAACCATGTACAAAAGCACCGCAAGCACCACTACTCATTAAATTAACACTATCTGCGTCGATTTCTTCGCGGGGGGCATCATCCGCCCACTTTTTACCACTTGACCATTCGCCACTCGTTACATTTTCCCATGCTAACTCATGAGCTGTTCTCTACAAAAGTAAGTATTCAACATTTTATTGAGGAAGTAAAAAATTAACAGGTAAATGTAGTGAGTTTACCCCACATTTCCCTGGAAATGGATTTTTGTAGCAATTAAACAAACCTTTCTTCTCATATCAGACATAAGTTTCTTGTCAAGTGTCTGATTCAAAAAATGGGGACTAACAAGAACCATAGAACCCAACAATTTAGCTGACAGAGCTCTTACATAAATTGAGAGGTCTGTTAAACCACTACACACCTTACCGAAAGCATCATCAATGAGTCTAATTTCCTGTTCACTGTCTTGTAATGTTACAACACTGAAATTCACAATATTAAAAAATATCTGTAAACTAAATTTTTAGCTCTGCATTAATTATCTTACATTTCAGGATATGTAATACCAAGCAACCAAACCAATTTGAGTACAACTTTTCTTACAATTTCATAATCATCTTTTAAACAGTTACACACATCTTTATAAACATTTGGATTAATTTTGATACCCCTTTCATGTAATGCAATGGTGGTAGAAAATGCCTGGCTTCTAACTCGTGCATCTTCATTATCAAAATATGATGAAACCAATTCTAATATTTTATCAGCTTCATTTCCAGTACAAACTGGTATTAAAACTCCAATTGTTTCTAAACATTTGCATTTAACAGCATGACTAACATCTTTCAAGTAATTTTTAGCAATTTCAACCAATTTATAATGTAATGATACATTGTCTGTCACTAGTTTTCCTAAATTTAATATAGTATTGATGCCCTGTGCAATCACCTTATGTGAAACTTCATTTTTTATTAGCATAATTGCTTCATCTATGATAGATATTATATCAGCACTTGGTTCTTTACCAATATCCAACAAAAGTGACAGTATTTTCACTCTAACAGCAGATTCTGCTTCCAATTTAAAATGATCACTTAACTTCTTCAACACTTCTGGAATGTCCGAGGTAGAAAGTTCAAAGTTGTCTGATGTCCTTAGCAATGTACGTAAGACTTCTCTACTATTCTTACAACTTTCGAGACAACTAATAAGCGCTAATACGGGGCTACTGGCTGCTGGTTTATTTATTAATTTTAACTTTTTGGTTGGAACTTGTAAGGGTGGTTCCTATCATTATACAAAATTAGTATCGTAAACGTAAAACGTACATTAATTTACTTACTTGAATCGTATGACTATATTCTGCTAAAGCCCTCTTTTTTAATACAGCCGTCATTTTCTAAAATATAATTCACCTTAAAATAAATATTAGATTGCAGTTTGTTTTGGTTTTTAGGTTAAAATCATATTCATACAATCAAATTTTTGGTTAGAATCATAGACCTATCATAGATAAAGTCAGAACCGTAGTGTTTATGAGGTTGCATAAATAGTTTGTAGCCTGCATTTTTATTTGGAACTTTTGTATTTTTCGTCAAATAAAATGTGTATAGCTTCTATATCTTAATTCGTATTTCAAAACTGCATGCACCATTAAATTTTTAATACATTTTAACATTAAATTCACTTTTTAAGAAGTCTAGAACAATTATTTTCAGATGGTAAAGTATTGAGCGCGTTTTTATGTTTTGACTCTGCTTGATTTTTATTNTTCAATTTTAGCTCTAAAACGGCTTTCATCACTAAGTTGTATATATTTTTCTTACATATTTTTAGCCCTTAAAACGTTCAAACTAATTGTTTTATATATAATTTTTTGATAGCGCTGTTATGTTACGTAGTTTTAATTTAATCACTTATTAAACGAAACGAAAATACCAAAATGTATTAAAGTTGTGAGGCAAAAGCGAAACAAATTTAATAGTTGGAAATCACTAGGCTGTGCTTTCAGCCCCTATGTAATTTAAAGACGACGTATTCATTACTTGATAAATTAATTTCTGTCGTATGAATGGACCGAAACTGGCAAAATGTAATAAAGTCGTCGTAGGTGGACAGAAACTAAAATTATGTAGCTAAAAATTACTAGTGAATATTTTAAACCTTGATTTTGAAAGTCGTCATTAATAGGTAAAGGAATTCAGAACTGGTACTGCAACCTGACGCTCAGAATACTTTATAATGAAGTGGGTTGCCTATATAAAAGATGAAAAATTTATTAAAACTATTAAATTCAAATTAAATGAGTGTGCTGTCTGTCTGGATAGAAATAGAAATGTTACAGTGCGAGTCGACATTTGTAAGCAACTAAATTTGTGGATTTTAATTAAATAATCTAAATTTTGTTTGACACGTAAGCAGTCTATGAAAGTAGTCATGATTCTACAACACAATACTGATAATATAAATTAATATTTTTCACTTTTTTTGTATGTTTCTTTAATGTGGGCATTATTAACTTGTGTCCTGTATATTACGATTTTTTATAAGATTTCTTATAGAGATATTTGTAATTAAAAATGCGCACAAAAAACTGTTAGGTTTATTTGGAAAAATTGTGATAAGAGTATCTATAAAAATGTAATAAAGTGACAATAGTTAACGAGATAAATACTTCTTAATAAAAAATTGCGGCTGAAAATGAAAAGAAATGTACCTCTTTTTCTAGTTCGCGAATAATAACAAGTATAAGATACAAAACAATGAATTTTTAATCTTCTGTTCAAAGATTGAAAAAGTTGTAACAACGTTTTCTTTCGAAGATATCTAAATTCTATAGTTTATTTTTGCATTTTTAAAGATCATTGCATTTTATTTTTATAGTCCTACAACCATAACAGTCTCTCAAAGTGATATCTGTTTGTCTTCATCTTAATCTCTTTAACAACATTTTTTTTATAATCGCGTCGTCGGTAATTTATCTCTAATAATAATATTTGTCTATTTCTGTATGTGTATGATAACTTTTTAGTTAGAATAATGAATTCCTGCGTTATGAATAATGATCAAATATAATTTAAAAATTAATTTATGTATACGTACTTAGAAACAATACTTATTAAAAGTATTTAAATATAAATACTTGACTTTTGAATTTGTATTAAAAAATATATTTATNGAGTTCAATTTTTTTTATAAATCGTTAGCAGATAAAAGAAATATTATTGAAAAAGTATTTGGAATGTCAAATAAAATAAAGATAAATTTGTATTTATAAACAAATAATGATGAATACTTTCATCGAAACGTATTACAAATATATGAGTATCTGTAGTATTTACTATAACATTCAACTTCACGTAGGTAATCCAAGACGCTAAAGTATGGGCGTTTTTATTCACTGTTACAAAAATATCTATTACTTTGGCCAAATCGAGAGGTTTTCCTACATTCTCTTAATGAGCGATTGCTAAATAATGGTGCAAATATTGTAATTTATGTTCGGTTTGGTGATTAAATTAAGCAGATCAGTGACAATAGGAAAAAAAAGGTTCCGTCACATTTAAATACAAAAAACATTAATATAATATTGCCTATGTTAACCAAGAATTTTTAATTAATTTACTTAGAAATATTGCATTCATTACTAGAAATTGTTATAATATCTTGTTAGTGTTGTAGTTTTATTGGGGTATTTTCTTTAAAGACGCATCAGTTTCTATTTAGGAATTAAATTGAGTTAATATAATTGAACACATCTATAAACCCTATTATCTATGTATTATAGGTATAGAAGGAATTTTTATCTATGGGTCTTCCGGCGATCTTGTCTGTCATCTTTTCTTCGGCTTCGATCACCCTTTGTGTATCTATTATCTATGGCTTCGATTAACTATCGTCTTCGAGAAGGCGATAATGCAAGCCGCCGTTTTTGCTGTTCGTAAATGGAGACGTCTGAAGGTATTAAGCTCTAATTTTTTTTTAATTTCCGTTGTTTGATTGTGTGGAATACATTTCTATTTAGCCCTTGGTGGGTTTCGATTACCGATGCTTAGATTTTATTTAGCGTGAACGAATTCGGTAACGTACTGGTTTTGTGCTCCAACATGGGTGTCCATCTTACCTGACTATTTATCCAATATGAATTTTTATAGATTATTAGTTTATTTGAGATCGAATAATTGGTATTTTGCTAAGAGTTTTTGAATTTTGAAAACAGATTTAGGCGATGATTGTAGATTTTTCATACTGATGTGACCACGTCGTGAAGAATTGCTTTCGTTTTATGGCCAAAATATGTTAAATATTTCTCAAAAGTTTTTCATCTTTGCCTTCTTATTGTAGAGATTGGGTTTTAACGACTGTTTTTTTTTTTTATATACAGGGTTGCCTTGCAGATAACATTCTTGGATTACCTATATGGACGAACTACTTGCAGATGTTATCAGTGACAGTCAGATTTACTTTTATTTCCAAAAATATTTCTGATGAGGTGGTCGAAAAATACGTAGACATAGGATGTTAACGATGGTAATTATCATTTATAATAAAATAAAATCTAATGAACATAATAATTAACATTAAGTTGTTCCAACAGGTTTCCATGAAAACATAATATGTAAATGAACACAGAGGGTAAATCAAAAGGAGTCGAAATGTAAAGAAACAGAGCCCCACTCTTCTTTCTCTTGGACTTGGAGTGGAGTCATGTGTTGAAAGGGTAAGAAATCTTTAATTATTTTATGAAGTTGTGTGTGAAATAGTTTGTGATTTTCTAAATCTTGTATTTCATTTGTTTCACAATAATTACTGCTAAAGTTTCTTACTCTTCTGCATTGTTATAGTTGGACCGTTTTATTATGTTTTAAAACATAATAGTTAAGATGAAACTAACATTAAATTGTTTCGACAGGTTATCATTTAAACTTATTAAACGAACAAGAAAACAAAAAATAAGGATTCAAAATGTGGAGAAGTGGAATCCTTGGAAAGTGCAATTTTTAGAGAACGAATGAAGTCCAATTCACATTAATGTATTTAGGAATGAAACATGATCACCATAGAGTTATCGTTGAGGTAATAAATTGCTTTACTGTTTATTATTTTGATAGTACTTATTTTCATAGTAATTTGCCATGTCTGGCATCTATGGTTTTTGTTCTCTAACAGATATCTATTGTCCACATCTATGATTTTCTTCTATCAATTATCTGTTGTGTACAGGCATCTATGGTTACTTCTATAGCCTTTAACATTTATCTATGTCTTGAATAAAATTGACACATCGCCATTTTATAATTTAGGTATTTTACTTGTCTTTTCGTGTATATTTTTATTACATTTAATATTTTATTTAATTTAATCTCTTCTTTAATTAATAATGTAAGTAATACTTCTTTTTGTCCGTTTCTGCAGATCGTCCAAATGGTGAGAAAGAGAATTTCAGATTGATGGTATTGAAACAACCAATGTCTTGTCTTGATTTGCTGTTTTCGTCTTCACCTCGCAACATTATGCAGCTAATTTTCAACAGATAAGTGAGAACAAGAGGAGATTTACTTGAATTCCACTAATAGAACAAGTTTTCTTCTTTGGCATTCCTCCTGGACTTGGTTTGCTTTTCATATCTGCAAACGTTGGAACGTTACAGTCTATAATTAATTAAGGTGAGAATACTTGATATAATTAATTTTAATTGCTCTTTATTAATAACAAGTATAAGATACAAAAC